TAGATATATGAGCAATGATCGAATGCAACGGTTGTACCATAGTATAATGCAATGACACTTCTAGAAAACCATGTTTGTGGTTTTTGGATGACCCCAAATTTTGCACACACACTCTCTTCATCTCAATAATCAATCCCCCCAAAAACAAATTTCTATTTGAACCCTAGATATGGTCAAAATGAGTCCCCTCCAAAAACGAATCTAGACCATTCATTTTGTGAATTTCAAGATCTTAGCCTTTATAAACTCAAAATCATTTTTTTCTTTTTTAACATTGCTCAACTAATGATAATAAAGCCATCCAAAAAAATTGGAAATGAAAAAAATCCTTATAAGGCCTAGATTTAAGCATCTCACCAAAATGAACGGCTTATGTTAATTGGGCTAAAAAAATACTTTCTGGGTTGTGTTTTCAATTTTTTCTTTTTTTGTGATTGTTCATTAGAATGAAAAGAGTGTATATTTCAAAATTTGGATCAAATAAATGGCCATAAGATGGTTTTTTAAGGATGTTACATCATATTACTATACAACGGTTGAATGAAATCATTGCCCTACTTCCATGTTTAATTTCTTTTTTCCGGGGTTGAAGTTAAAGAATGCTTGTTTGGCTAGATGACTTAGATTCTCAGTATTTTCCTAGTTTGAGAGGCGATGACATGTATGAGAATTCTCTAGATTCATTGGTACCTGAAACTATAGTGTGTGTAGTGGAAGATAATATTGGAAAAAATTCATTTAAGCTTGTTAAGCCACTGGAGATGAAGAGTGACACTCACTGGTTTGACCAGAACTGCCATATTCGGTAGTGCGTCCTTTGATGGTTCGGTAGATTTCCCACCCCTATCGGTTGTCATTTATTCCTTTTTCTTTTTTTGATGTCCCCTCTTTTTTCATTATAGTGACTTGAAATTGTAGATTTCCATAGGTGGGATTTGCAGGAGGTTTTACGCTTAAAAAGTCGCTTCATCCGATCAATATGGTGAAAAACATATGTGCACTTTGGGGAACTACATGTTAGAATTCATTATGGGGAATGTTGGACATGAAGTCGCAGAGGTATATGGTATTTGATCCCCAAACAGATGGACAAACAGAAGTGGTCAACCAGACCATTAGCCATCAAAGGCCAAAGACTTAGTATTAGAATTTTGCCATATGTTCAGTATTGTTACTATTCACTCATTGAACAACTTTTGAGGTATGTTATGGTTTTCTTCCACAATCCCCATTTAATAGTCTTTTCATAGGAAAATAAGTGGAAACAGGTGAATGCGGTGAAAGTGATAATGCTTTAGAGTTTGTACAAAGGGTTCACCTTATCCATCATAGGGTTGAAGAATAGTTAAAGCATGCATAATAGTGCTACAAGGAGTGTCATGAGAAAACATTGCACTGACATCATTTCCAAGTTGGAGATATGGTATGGCTGTACTTGGGCAAGATCAGATATTTAGGAGATCACGCAAGAAGTTGAAGCCTATTCAATATGGTCCATTCAAAATTATTGATCAATATGATGATAATGCTTTTAAGCTTGAATTAATTGGGTATATGCAGATGAACTCTGTTGTGGATGTTGAGAACCTCCACTTATTCGAACCATCTCGTTTGGATAAACCAGAGGAATCCACCATTTTACCGATGGTGCATGATTTGGTGCTGAAAGAGCAAGAATTCTTGTGGATAATGTCCTAAAGGGCAGTGCCTTAACTGAGCAGGATGGTTCCCTGTGGACCAAGCGAAGGAAAAATTTCCTCACTTGGTGATGATGCTTTTGAGAGACCAAAAGCCTCCTAACTAGGGGGGCTTGATCCGGATTTAATATCTAGAAAGAGAAAAAAATAATAAAGGAATTGTGGAGTTGTCTCGACTCACATATTCTTGTAGTAGGGGGATTTAGAGCAAAGTCAACTCAACTTCCTCATCATATGAGATACATATTACCCGCTAAAAGCAGTTTCTCAACCAACCAATTCGAAAAATCTCTTTGAAGAGAATGGATTGGTTGAATTGGATAATCTAGATTAGTCGAATTGAAGAAAATAGTAAGAAAAAATAAGATTTTAACATCGGTGATTCTAGGGCCTGTAGAGTATAGACACAGGTTGCCTTTTACCTTTTACCAACAACCATAAGGTTAAATTTGCTGTGTAGAAACAACATTGCCGAATACAAGGCCTTAATAGCTAGACTCAAGATCGCCTTTCAACTTGAAACAATTTGGCCTTTCTGCTCCAATATATCCCACTAAGCCTATGCATAAATTAGGCCGATTAACAATGTATGACCACTATCTTTCATGAGGGCCATGTAATCCCCTTTTTCTTCCGGTGTCATGGTGGTTGAGATGAAGATTGGCCTCTGGTCACCCTCATCGCCCAAGTTGACTTTTTTGAAGTCGTCCACTGTGGTTCCTCGAAATACTAGACCCAATAATAGGCTTATATGCAAGGCTTAATTGAGAATTTTTTTTTTTAGCAAATAAAGAGAATTAACACAGTTATACAAGAGACAATAATTTTTTTAATGTGATAAGATGAAACATCCACGGCCAAATTATGGAAAATTTTTCACTCTAACAGTAATAGAGGAGTACAATTTGGGGAAAGGTAGAAGCCATTTACCTCTTAGTACTAGCCTCTCCAGCATACCTTTGGTTCATTTACCTTTTTTTTTCTTTCTTCTTTAGCAATAACTAGCTTAGTTTGTTGAGAAACTACTTTTGTGGGTAACATGTATCGCATGTAATGGGGAAGAGTTTCACTTTGCTCTAATTCCCTTCACTACAACAATATGTGGGTTGAGGCAACTCCACAATTCCTTTATTATTAGTATTATTAGTATTTTTTTCTCTTTCCAGAAATTAAATCCAGATTGTCTGAATATGTGATTGAGGAGAATGGAAGTTCTAGGTTAGTTTCCTGGACAAACTAGTTCTGCATTTCTAAGATATGCACATTCTGGATTCAGATTTGGGCTTGAAAATCTATCTATCTGAATCAGCTGTTCTTGATTTGTCTTTTTGTCAATTTTATGTAATTTAAGTAGTGCAGAGATCTTAAGCATTTTCACAAATTTTAGTTTTAGATCAGGCTAAAACTTCCAGTTTTGACTTTTGAAAACTAGGTCCTTGTAATCACTCTAGTATGTTTTATTCTATTCTAATTTGGTAGTTCGTGTAGGGATGCATTATTGCCATGAAATTCTCAAGTATGTACCTTCAAAACAAAAATGATGTATTGAGAGACGGAAAGTGTTTGAAGGACCAGTTAAAATAAGGAAAACAGGACCTGTTCCAATAATCAAAACAAGTTAGTTGCAGAAAAAAATTTACCTAGACATATATCTTAGCAGTTATCTATTTAAAGAAAAGGACACCAACTTGCATTTTTAAATCTGACAAACTCACAAAGTCCATTTCTATGGATTTAAATCAGAAGAATCTCTGTCGAGGTTTTTCTAATATGAAAATTTGTACTTGCAAGAGCTGTTGAAATTGTAACCTCAAAATATGTTAGGTGAGAACTTGTGTTTTAGTTGGACAGTTAACTTATTCCTAGGTTACTGGGCTGTCCGTTGCGTCCATATTCAAAAGTTTTTATGAGCAATCTAAGGATATGATGGAAGGGTTGCGGCAGTGTCACGGGATCTCTAAAGGCATTCCAGCATCTTGCAGGTTTTTGATGGAATTCTGGATCATTCTCTTATTTCTGTGACACTTAACCCAAGCATGAGGGCAGAACTGCCACATTTTAACCATGAGAGCACTAACTGCCATAAGTTTTAATTCATACTGGAATGGGATAAAGTGGGTGCTATGGAGTTAATGCACCTCGATTATCTTCCTTTTCAATGCATTAGTGAGCTACCACAAAAGGACTTCAATGTATATTACATGTTAAATGGCATAATCATAAATGCATATTTAGCTCGGTACAAGTGTTGCGCATCATTGATGTTCATTACCTCCTGCTGAATTTTGCGTATGGTAATTCACAGATAGGTACCTCCAAGTCCCTTGTTAAAGCTTGTCCAATTTTTTCTCTCATTAGTACTGTTGCTTATGAGCTTGAGTTTCTGGGTGTTGTTAATAATTTCTAACTGGGAATTTCATTAGAACTCTATATCCCAGTTCATTTCTCCTTGTTATATGTGCTTCTATTGAACTTTTGGTTTTCTGGGTCTTGTAATTCTCGATTGAGATTTTGAAATTCTCCTCAGAACTTATATTCTAGCTTATTGTCCTTTCCATATGATGGTTCTCTTGTAATAAAACATTTTGGCTCTTGCTGATAATTTCATTTGAGATTTCCTAGTTCTCATTAGAGCTTCATCCCACATTATTTCTTCTTACTCATCTGTAAATGATAACTGATGACAGCATTTTCTTTGTTCTCAGCTTCCCCGTATGCTTCAGACAGATGCCATTTCTCGCTACTATGGCCTTAAGCCGGGTCAAATTGTGAAAATAACTTACAGTGATGAGCCCATTGAGTCCTTCATGACATACCGTTGTGTGAACTGACAGTTTTGGGGTGCTCATGTAAATAGACTGGCACAACTGAATGTTCATTAAACACATGTTTTTGATTTAAGGTGATTGGTCTTTTATAAATCGAGACGACTTTATTTTCTATATTCATCCCCCTCTTCCCTCCCATTGGTTTCAAATTTTCAATCTTTGGGACTTGGAAATATCTTTTTAAAGAAGGATTACATGTAGTGCCACTGGTATATAAAATATGTGACCCATATTTAAACTGTTCGATTAATGATGGATGGTTCAAATGGCTTCAAGCACAATGTCATACCAAACATTGTTTTTTTTTCGTTTTGTTTTGTTTTTACAAATAAGTTTTACATGCTTTTGGGGTGTGCCCTCGCATTTTTGGGGTGCACTTAGAAAAATGAAAAACATGAGTAAAAATAAACAAATTGCCCCTGCAAGTTCGAAGGTATTTGGTGTCAAAATGTTTTTTTGTATTTTTACTAGGTGAGCCTCTTCGGGAGGTGTGCACATCCCAAACTTCATTGCAAAATGATTTATAAAATAAAAAATGAAATAACTACTCTAAATTGTCTAATCTGGACGTTTGTGAACTAATATGTGATATTATACCCGAAATGATCCAACTATCTATTCAAATTGGATGGTTGAGAATAGGGTTCTCATATATTTAAAACGTGGATGGTGCCACATGTAAAAGTTTCTTTCTTATTTTATAGGTGGTTGACACCACATGTAAACTTTTTATGCTACTGGTCATTGATGTGAAGTGCACCATGAGTAGAGAAGAAAAAGAGAACATTAACTACGGCCATTTGCTGATTTTTTGGTGGAATCCATTTTGTTGAAGAATTACCGTCCTAGAACCCAACTTATTGTTGTGTCCGTTTGAAAGGAAATATGAGAACTATTCATATCTTATTGGCTTTTTCTTTTTTTTTTCATTTTATTAGTAATCAGGATTCATAAAAGTTGATGCGGTAACTTGGGTTATTTTGAAAGCTATTCTTTGCCTGTTTTAGAAATTAATCGCGTGATTTGCAGGCGAACCATACTCTCCCATTTTGCCGCACCGTTTGCAATTTTTGTCGTTAAGAAAAGCAAGTTGTATCTAATCATGATAATTGATAATGTTTGTATAGGAGATTTGTATTATTAGACTCGTAAATTGGTCGGATTCACATTAATTATGTTAATTTTGTTTAAAAATAAAAAAATAATATAATATATTACAGAAAATTTGCCCAACCCTTTAACCAGTTTGACCTGTCAAAACCAGTTATTCTAATAGGTTAAAACCAATCAAACATCAAAACATCAGTTTTGATCACTTTTCGTCCAGATATAATTTTACTTTGGACTCGATCTCCCAATGAATTGGTTAGCAACATAATCGGTTGAATTGGACAGTCTGGAGGGGTGTTATAACAATGGGTGATATTTTTGTACACACGTACCAACTCAACATGCACACGACCACATTGAGAGAGACAACGTGCACACAAACACATACATGGAGAGAGAGCTTAAGGTGGCTGTTTTCTTGACAAAAATCACTTGGGCTGATGGATTTCTTCTATGTATCTGGAATTTTGGGAATATGGGTACGTGGATAAGAGCATAAATTTTACTTTTATTGCTCGTATTCCTAAGAAGATTCTATTGCTGGTTTGAATGATCTTTGTGTGATTAGCCTGTTATCTAGTCTATGTAAGATAATTGCGAAGATCTTGGCTAGGCATTTGAGAAAGGTGTTTCCTTTGCTGATCTGTGATTCCCAATATGCACTTCATTCAAAATAGGTTGATTACCAATAGCATTCTAGTGGCCTAGGAATCTATTCATTCTAGGGTGTCTTTTGGGGTATTTGGGATATTGTTAAAATTGGATATGGAAAAAGCTTAACATGGTAGAATGGGGAACTTTAAATGAAATTATGAGGAGAACAGGTTTTGGTGAGAAGTGGAGGTCTTGGATTATAGGTTGTCTTTCGACAGCTCATTTTTCGGTTCTTATTAATGGATGTCTGAAAAGCTTCTTTTAGACATTTAGGGGTTTGAGACGAGGGTATCCTTTTTCCCCTTTCTTATTTACCTTGGTGGTGGAGAGTTTCAGTTTAATGATTAAAAATATTTTAGAGGCAGGAAGGATTCTTGGGTTTCAAGTTTCGTCGGTGGGCCCAATTATTACTCATTTATAATATGCAGACGATATAATCATTTTTTGTGATGCACAGTTGGATGAAGTTTGCAATGTGGTCGACTTTTTAAAATGTTGTGAGCCTGCGTTCTGGTTGAAAGTGAATTTTCATAAAATTTCAATTGATGGTGTTGGATGTCTAGATGACTTGGTTGTCTCCTTTGCGGTCCGAGTAGGATGTGAAGTGGAAAATTTCCCTATTAAATATCTTGGAATACCTATTTCAGATTCTAGATTGCTTAGGTATGTGTGGGACCCTATCATTAAAAGATATTAGGTAAAATTTAGCCTTTGGAAATCTAAATATTTATCCTCGGGTGGTCGTGTTATTTTGATCAATTCTTCTTTGGCTAATCTATCTATTTACCTGACGACCTTGTTTGTAATGCCGAATTATATTATTAAGCAGATAGAAAAAATGATGAGGGATTTCTTGTGGAAACTGTGGATGGGGAAAAACAGTTTCATTTGATTAATTAGGATAGAGTTTGAACAGTTAAGATGGAGGGTGGTTTAGGTGTTCGAAGAATCAAATATGTTAGGTGGTTTAGGTGTTCGAAGGATCAAATATGTTAATTGGGCCTATTGGTGGTTTAGGTGTTCGAAGGATCAAATATGTTAATTGGGCCCTATTAGCCAAATTGTGGTGGAGGTCTATGCTCGAGACTGAACAATTGTGGAGGAGAGTATTGGTGGCTAAGTATGGAGTTGGTCAATCTACCCAAATCATAAGTGGTAGGAGGAGTGGACGTAATTTCTCACAGATTTGGAAGGGGATTATTAGTTGTCGATGTATTGTGGTTAACTACAGCCGTTGTAGTGGGGAAGGGTGAAAGGATCAAAATTTAGTCAAATAAATGAGTTGGTGATAGGCCGTTAAAAATCAGATTGCCAGAATTGTTCTCTAAAATTTCTAATCCCCATGCTTGTGAGGTTTATGATAGACAAACGACATGTGTAGTATGGAATTTATAGTGTATTTATAATGGAATGCCTGACTCAATTATTCTGCAGATGACAGAACTTTTGGAGGATCTAAATCACGTCTACATATGTAGAGAAGGAGAGGACGAGGTAATATGGGAGATTCAGAACGGTGGGGAATTTGTTTTGTTAAATTTGCGAATAGACTTTTTTTTTAGGACCGAATTCGGTGGCATAATAGAAATCTTAGTCAAATTTGAAAATGGTATATTCTAAAAAAAATCAAAGTCTTTATGTGGGTGACGTTGTAAGGAAGATCTTTAACTGTGGATAATTTTAGGAAGCATGGGAAGATTTTGGTAAATATTTGTTTGATGTGCAAAGAGGATGAGAATGATGCGATCGTTCATTATAGCTTCACGAGCTCCTTTTGGAGATCGGCTTTTCAATTATTTGGTATTTATTTGCCTTTATTGCAGTGCCAAATAAATATTCTAAATCAATTAGAGGATGTAGGTGCACCAAAAAATGGAAGGTATTATGGAATGTTTTGAGAGCTGCAGTATTATGGGAAGTTTGGCTGGAGTAGAGTAGAAGAACCTTTAAAGGTAGGGTAGCACATATTCGGCATGTTTAAGATAAAATCCTGCACTCTACTTGGTCGTGGTTTTCAATGACAAAAGAGGGTGATGGTGTTTCAAAGGTGGATGTCGTGGTGAATCTCATGAACATAATGTGGCAATCATCCAGAGTTGTTTCATAGGTGGGTAGATCAATCCCACCAGCCAGTGGGTGGATCAAATTAAACTTCGATGGTAACTCTTTCAGAAATCCTGGGCCGGCTGCTATTGGAGGAGTTTTTCGAGATTCTAATGGCTTTGTCGTGTTGCTTTTTTGGTCCCTGTTGTCACTCTATATCCAATAAGGCCGAACTTTCTGCCTTCTTGTGTGTGGATTAAAAGTGTTGAAAGAGAGATTTGAAGGTGTGTGGTGTATTGTGGAAGGGAACTCTCTCGATGCGAATAATTGGTGCAAGAGGAATTGGAGGCTTCCATGGGCACTCAAATATCTTTGGGTGGAAATCACAGACTTACTTGCTGGTGACGACTTGATTTCCGTCACATTTATAGGGAGGGGAATCATGTTGCTGATTCCTTAGCAAAACATGGAGTTGTTAGTGCTCACTTTGTAATTAGCGAATCTCTTCCGTTATAACTGTAATGTTTATTTTTATTATTATCAATAAAATCTTGTGATCTTGTTAAAAAAAAAGGAGAGAGATTTTGCAGGGTATTGGAGGTATATATATGGGATTGTCTACAAATAGATCATCTATCTTTTGTACATGGAGGACACAATTATTCCCATTCATTAGATGTCAAATTGGATAGCTTGAGTTGAGTAATGAAATTTGAGATTTTTTTTTTTTTTGAAGTTTGTGTCTATACAATAACACTCTTACAACTACCCATTTTGAAATATGAAGAACAATAATGATTGTGACCTCCATCTACAAACAATAAATAATCTCTTTGTAGACAATCTCTATATATATCTATGGGATTACAAACTAAAGCTTCAAGAAAATCCTCCATTATGGCTCCTAATATATCTCCATAACTAAATCTTCAAAAAACTCCTCCAATATAGCTCCTAATATATGTCCATAAAATCAACGCCTTTTGGTAAACTATTGTGCAAATAAAAGTATACAAAGAGACCATCTACATTTAGTACAAGGTCACAATCACTCGTCCCTCAAATTTTAAGTCGGAGGGTTATAAGTGTGTCATTGACCTTGCTCAAACTTCAAAAAACGAAAAAAAGAAAAGAAAAATCTCAAAATTCGTGATACACCCAAGCTATCTAATTTGACAACAAAAGACTAGAAGTGATTTTGACCTCCTTGTAACAATGATAAATGTTCGCATAACATATCATTGCGAAAACAAGGGCAACTTGGATATTGGAAAAACAATTTAGAGAGACCACACATCGCAAATTTAGAAGTTAGGGTACAAAGGATGTATCCAAAGGCAGCGGCATTTCTCAATTGGGAATCAATTGGAGCCGCAACTGCTTCAAGAGAAGGATATCTGAAAACAAGCCCATTGGTTTCTCACTTTTGTTAACTGGTTTCATTTAGGGGGCTCAATTTTGTACATGACAGACTAAATTTTTTTTTGTAGGGCTTATGCTTTTAAACTCATTTTCTGATTGTATGAAGTACAGTTAACCATTAAAAAAACTTCAATAGTTAGGCTAATTCAAATTTGAAAGAAAATTGCGCAATCCTAATCTTTCCCAACTGCTGAAATGCTCAAAATACATTCCTCTTCTACATAAAGGTAAAAGTTCATATGAGGTAAGACGCGGGAATTAGGATCAAAAGAAAATGAAAAAAATATTTGGTGTAACCTAAGGTGCCCACAATTCATGTGGACATACACAAATCAGCCTAGGGCACGATGGACCAAAACATGGCTCCAAGTGATACTCAATCCCAAGATCAGTCTCATCCAAAAAAATTTAAAAAGTTTGACTTGAAGCTCTGATCTGCTCTAGACCAAATCCCCCTAAGTGGGCCATCAATTTGTGGACACGTTTTGGGGAATTTGGAGCATTTTTTAAAGCTACAGATCAGCTGTTATATCAATGACTAACGGTTTAGAGAAGGCATGAAGCAATTGTAGGGCCTTCAGCCCATTGAAACAAGTGCTTTTGGATGTCGGTCCACAACTCCACATGAACAGCATGCCCTTCCAGTTTCACTCTATACAAGCCCACTGAGAAAATAAAATATTAAAAATTAAGGGTATAATGTAATCTTAATTAGGTAATTTGAGAATCGTCTTTCAAATTCAGTATCACTAGAATTAGCCTAATTCCCAGTTGGTTTGGGAGATGCATGCTTTCTATATCTAGATTTTGTTCAAATTGAGTATGGAATCCATAAAGCTCCATGCCTTTGTTTGATTGAAGCAAGGTGCTACCATTCTACATGATAAGAAACTAATTGACAATAAAAATGATGAAGCAGGAAAAGATTGCACCATCAAACTTGCCAAAAGATAATTTCTAAGAAATCATACTGTACTTTGTTGTACGAGCACTGGGTAATCTTAATTATGAAGATGTTTACAACTGGGTAAATGATTCTAACTTCAAAAAGGAGAATTGTACTCGCATGAATTTATATATTTATTTATATTGTTGCCTTTGACAGAATCAGATTAGACGAGATTTTGTAGAGTAATTAGATTACAAAGAGTCAAAAGAAATGAAGACAACAAAATTACAATATAAATTAAATTTACAATTGAAGAGTAACAATGATTAGAGAGAATAAGTGAAGGGTATGTACTTGACATGGACAAGGTGCTTAACTTGACTGGTCAGGGTTGGAATCAGGATTGTCAAGCTCAAGGGCAATAGTAGCATTGAATCCGAAGCCATTTCCCGGACTGAATGACTCTTCAAGTTCCTCTGCTGTTTGTTTCGTGTTGAATTTGTTTTTTGCCTTCAAATTTTCCTGGTATAATGGTGTAACATTAAGCTCCAAACAGGCCTTAGACAATAAATGAATAAGTAGACGAAATAGTAATAGAAGGAAGGTAAACAACTTGCCTTCTTAACGTAGTCAGCCACAGATGAGCTCACGATTTCTTGGATTGTGAATTTGGTCACTCGGTCACGACCAAGGATTTGCAGAAGGAAGCTCTTGGGAACCTGTAAGATGAAACTCACCAAGAAAAACTTTCACTATCCTTCCTAATGCAGTGTGACCCTTTTTCTTCCTTCAGAAAAATCTCGAATTTCGTAAAGGTGTAAATATTGAGTGCCATGGCTACAAAGCTACTAATTTAATTGAAAATGAAAGTTTACTCCAAGCCCAACAAGTCGTAGCAGCCACTTACATTGGATGTTTTTCCTAGAAAGCCATATTACACATGCAAAATAAAGAACAGAAGAAAAGAGTCAGCTTATGCTCATAGTATAGTTTGCACATACAAAAAGTTCTATAATTCCAAAAAGAAAAACCAAAATAAGAACATAAAAGTACAATATAAGAAAAATGCAACATTTTAAGATCCCAACTGCATCATCATCAAGTAAAGGAATTGCAAAGAGAAAATCTGGAATCCATCAAGGCCCTAAAATCTTGAGCTTTTGTGACATGGATTTTGGTGGATGAATAGTCAAAGAGAAATATCTCACCTCCTTTCTTTCTTCGGAAACCTGGAATTGGGGGTGCTGTACGAGCTAAGTCGGTTAGGACGTCATCAAATGCTTTTTGTGTCTGTTCGCCCATCAAGTCCACTCTTATCTGGGGTGTACCAATAGAATGAGATAAAGTGCAAAAAATACACAAGGAAGGTCCTCACGAGCTCATCAGAAAATGTATGCCTTGGGGAGTAGATGGAACAACTATTTTGGCTCAGTGAAGCATAAATTAAGTGAGGTGATATGAAATGCCCTTCATTTACAGAGAGGTTCCTAACTGCAACCCTAAAATTTCGGGTATATCAAAATAAATAAATCAAAACTGTACATCAGCAACTATTACGAATAAAAAAAAAACAAAGACCCTTCTAGCAAAATTACCGAAAACAAATATAGGGTTAGTGACCTAAATACCTACATGGTTTTGTAGAATATACTTTCTTAGGCATGACTTGATCCTCTATTACGGTGGGGTTCTTCCTGCATGTAGTATTCAATATGAATGGGGTCCAGTGAATTAATTAACTAAGAAGGCACAAAGTAACCATTAATAGGGCTGTAATCTAACAGCTTACAATTTGGTAGATTAGGCTTGTTCTGCCCCCCTTTGCGACCTGAGACACTATTAGAAACTCAACCAGCAGACCATATGATTGTGTCAAGCTCCCAACTCAGAGACTAACACAGGTTCATATATGTAAAAATCCGTAACTAATAAGGATTAATTTTCTCCAATGACACCAAAGATAACTAGTTGATTTATTTCTACAAAATGGACCCACAAAGAGTGTATTACTGAAGCTTTCCAGAACGTCCCAGCAAAGGTGAATTTTGACTCGGTTTTATAAATCAGAGCTACATATCGTGTGGAGCTTAAGTGCCACAAAGAGTATGCGGCACTCTCTCAATGAATGATTCTCAGCTTTATGCCTAGTCCTAGGCTATCATAGAGGGCATATGGCATTGTTGTGTCTGCACATCATACATAAACAACGAAATTACGCTCTTTATCATCAATATGGTCAAGCAAGAAAAGTCAACAAGGCAAAACAATGGGCACCAGGTATACATAGAGATATTGTCTTTTTCTTTTTTCTTCTGTGATTTACAAGTACATAAGTGATATTTGGCAAAAAATAAGTATAAATATGGCTATTCGTCGACACCCATCACCAACAAACAAAGAATTCTGGAACTATTACCTAGAAGAAATCCAAGAAATACGTAAAGAGCTAAATTTATCAACTGGGAGAATTTCAATTTTTCTTTTCGTTGTAGGTCTGAGTTGGAATTGGATACATCAAAATTCCTTCCCTAAAAATGGGTTTTGGTTTTTATTCATTTTTTAAGTCATTATAGATTTTAATACAGCATGGTGGTACATGCTCATTTAATCCCAGGTAACTGTAGCACCAAGAAAAAGTAGAAATAAAAGGCATATTCAAGTTGTAATCCATCAAGAAATTATAAACTTAAATGAAATGCTCACGTGGATCCTATCACCATCACGAGACTCAACAACTACATTGATATCCCCCAAGTTTAGATCATCTGAATCTGCAATTGATCCTTCTACACCTGAACAGCAATGTGATGAAGAGTTACTCAATGAAAACAACAATTAAATAGTTAATCAAATTACTTTCCCAAAATATTATTAATGAAATTTGCATTTGATCTGTAATTTACATCCCCATGAAATTGGTAGAAAACAAAAAAAAAAAATTCAATAGTTGTAGGCTTGCACGGCATTGTGTAAATCCTCATAATTGCAATATGATCAAAGTTTCACCTGACCCAAGTGCAAATGCAGTATAAGATACATGCCAAGAATTTTTCATGCATGGAAGGCATGGATACCTGCATGAAAAATAAATAGAAATATTACCTAATGAATTTGACTGTAGAATGTTTCATACTATATATTGTAAATAAGAATCAGCTGGCAGCTACAATCTACCAATGAAAAAGCTAATTGCTTTATACAAATCCTCTCCATTCATCATTACAAGCAACTAAAGCTTCTAAAACAGAACTATATTATCACCAAATCATTATGTTTACAAATTTTCTTGCAGTTCTTTAATATTTTCAATGAACCGATCTTCCTAACATGGAAGAGAAAATCATCGAAACAACAATATATGGGAAAGGGAAAGTAACCTATACCCTCATTTAGGTTTCCTTTTAAAATGATTCTTTTTGTATCAATGCAAATAAAATGTACAAATTCCACATAAGAGTGGGTTAGAAAAATCGGGGTATGTGTGTGTGGTTTGTACAAAATTTTGAATAAAAAATTTACTCTTTGTGGAGGAGGTCTTGTATTGAGAAGATTGGGTCTCCAGGCTCCATCTTTGGCAAGGGAATTTGCAGATGCATCAGTCTCAACCCATTAGTATTTAAAAGATACATGTAGTGATCTGCAGATGTCAAATATCTGCAGTAAAGTAGGTTTCAACCACCAAAAGCAGGGTGACGATTCTTTTCACCTTGTTTTATAACCTTTTGGGATCTCCTTCAATCACTGAGGTGGAGACCCAACTTCTATTAAACACTAAGTCCAACCAGCAGAGCTTGAGCTGCTGTGCAAGTAGAATATGCCACGTCTGTCGGTCATGAATAGGCCACTAAGATTCTGGCAAAATGAGTTCTGAAAATTCTCTTGATGCTGGCAGGACCTACATTGCCAAGGGAGCTGCATCAAATTTAAGTTTGACAACGATGGGCTCAGGCTGAATCCAGGGGAAGGATCAGGAAATTATCTGATCTCTGGACTATATTACTGTTCCATTGTTGTCTGAGGTCTACGAAGGTGTAGGACCTGAATTCATTACAATTTGGGCACATAAAATGACAATCGATTTATTTGATTCTTGAGAGCATATATATGGACTTATTTACTTTCAAAAGCGCACCAATTTCATTCTACCCAAATGGTCCATATAGCAGCCAAAATTGAAACACACCAAAGCAAAAAGATCTGATAATCCGATAAGTGGGGGAGGAAAATATAAAAAAAGAGCTCTAGGACTGTTCTTGCTGTGATGCACAACCATTCGAAAAGGTTTAGGATGGTTTAGGATGAAAGACCAAATTTATGTTGGGGTTTGTGGCCTTTAAAAAGCCAAGCGAGCTTGTACACATCATTTATAGTGGATTATGCACTTTAATGGGAGTGTGTGTTGACTGACCAAGGATTAGACGGTTTACGGTCCTGGTCATGTCCACAACCCTTACCCCTGGGTATATGGTACTACCAAAAGGGGTTTACAAAGGGTCATCCCTTATTAAAGTCAGAGAAATGCCCAGGGATGGATTGTAGGCCAGAAGAGTTGTGCAGTCTCCTGTGTGCTAATGTATGCCTGTTAGACCGAAGGCTAAATCCTCAACAAACTTTCGCATGACATGTACATATGAAAGCCACATTACCGGGAAGCATTCTTAAAAAGAGACATATACACACGTGTGTAGAGAGAGACAGTCCCTTGCACTGTAGTGATGTGTTGCTTAACTTGCTCTTAAGGGGCGAAACTATAATCCACATTCCGAACCGTGGTTCCACTATTTATTGGCCAGTTTTGATAAGCCAATGATAAGCCTCTGCAGGAGACTGTGGGTCATGGGTCTCGTTGGGTCGGTTTGAGAACACAATCATGGATCACGACTATTGAGTCAAGTGGAATGCACTTACAGTCATTTATCTGGCCTATTGCTACTGCTACTGCTCCACTTCTAGACATTTTATTTATTTCAATGCTAAAAACATTTTTGTGAATTTTAGAAAAATTTTCAAAATTTTTTAACATTAATTTCAACAGTCAAATGTTGAAAAAGGGCGTTTCTATAATTTTAACAATGTGGAGGGGCACATGTGGTGTCCTTGGATCCAGCTCCATGCCACACCACAAGGGTGGGGCATGGAGCCCATGGTGGGCCCACACCTCTCACCTCCCACATGGGGTGGCATGCCCCTCCCCTCTTATCTTTAAATTATATTTTAATTAAAAGAATTTTTAAGTTTGGTTAAGTTAATCGTTTAAAATACAAGATCATGTCCAGTGTTTCAAAAAGTGCTAGGCGGCACCGAGGCGGCCATGGGGATCTAGGCTGCCCAACGCCTCGGCGGCCGCCCAGAACTTTGGCGGTCCAGTTGGAAAAAAAAAAAATTTGAGGGCTGAGGCTCAGTTGAAGAAAAAAAAAAAAAAAAAAAAAAAAAAAATGAATGACTAATAATAATGATTAATCTATAAGAATTTTAATAATCCATAATACCAAGATCCCAGTTAAAAAAAGAAGAAGATAGAAGTTAGGAAGAGAATTTTGAATTTTTGATAATCCATATTTTCATACAATGCTAAAATAGTAAAACCATACAAGCATACACTGATAGTTTGATACACTGTAGACCGTACACACAAAAATTTGATAGTAGAACTAGAAACTAGAAAGTAGAAACTAAAATAAGAAAGAGAAAATATACATAAATTAAAAAAATATACATTATATGAGACTATGACACATTAGTCAACACTCAACACCAAGAATCTTCAGTCATCATCATCATCATTAGAAGGAATAGGGTAAGCTTCATCATATGCATCAGAATCGAAGCCATCATCATCGGAGTCATCTCCCTCTTCAATATAACGTTTGTCCTCCTCTGTTTCTTCTAAATCTGCCTCTTCCTCCTCCTCTTCTTCTACCTCCCTCTTACTAGTATGTGTAGATGAGGCCTTAGGAGTCTTGGCTGCTCTACTATTTTCTATCTTTTTGTGCTTCCCTGAACTCAAATATTGTATAATTTCCTCCCTGGTAGTGTCAAGAACATTTTTACATGGGGCCCCATCCCCCTTAATATGGGCAAGGTGATTTTTAAACCGGTAAATGCCCCCATTAGTATCCTTTCCACAATAATTACATTTAATACGATTTTTGTCATTCGGAATTGGGTTATAACCATACTTCTAACCCAGATCACCACTTCTAGAAGAACCTGGAGAGGATATTTCCATAGAACAAGGCTCATTTTCATCATTTTCTGGTTCTTTAAAATTCAAAAGTTGTCTAATCTCATCCCGAATAGCTTCATGAACTTTTTTTACAAGAAGCAGCATTCCCTTTATACCAGCAAGATGTTTCTTGAATCGGTTAATACCTCCATTGGTATCTTTTTCACAAAAAATACACCTTATACAATTTTTATCATTTGGTTTTGGGTTATAACCATACTTCCGACCCGGATCACTTCCTCTAGAAATAGCAGAAATAGATCTATTCAAATGACAAGGATTTTGTTCCTGTTTTTGTTTTACAAAACTAATATATTGCTTAATTTCCTCTCTGATAGCTTCAGGAATATTTTTGCAAGGGGCAACATTCCCCTTAATACCAGCAAGATGTTTCTTAAACCGGTTTATAACCCCTTTTGTATCTTTTTCACAAAAATTGCATCTAATGCAATTTTTGTCATTTGGATTCGGGTTCTATCCATATTTCCAACCCGGATCTCCACTTTGACTAGATCCTAAAGAAGAAATCTCAAAATAAAACAAGCAATCTAAAAAATAAAGTTTTGCACTTTGATTGCTCAAACTCTAAACTCCCACCTCAGATGTTTTCTGGTGCTAAAATAATAAAAAACACCCTCTAATATGATTATAAAACTCTAAAACTAAATCAAATCTACCTAGGTGATGTTTGGATCTGTTTTCTGTGTTTTCTGTAACTTTGAAAAACACGTCGATCCAATGAAAGTAAGAAAATGATGCTTTCTTGGGGTTTCTCTCTCTAAAATGGTTCTTGTGGGTTTCGGTTTCAAATGAATCTAAAACACATCATTTGAAACCCTTTATATTTTAAAAAGATCAATAGAAACGAAAAAAACAGTCCCATGCATAGGCGGGGTGCAAGCCCTGAGCGGCAGCCTAAGGCTAGGCATTGGGCGGCCGCTTAGGCGGGTTCCGTACCGCCTAGGCGGCCGCCCAGGGATTACTGCCCAGTTTGGCCGCCTAGGCCTAGGCGATGCTCCCCGGCCTTCTAGACCGCTCAGGCACTGGGCGGTCCGCTTTTTTGAACATTGATCATGTCTTTATTTGTGGGAGTTAATTTTTAAAATCGATTTGACCAATTTCTTTATTATTTTTACTTCCTACAATTTTAAAGAGATAAAAAGAAAGGGAGTTCTAGAAGGTTTTTATATTGGTCTTATCCTAATTAGGCTAGAAGTAGATATGGGTCAAAGAATAAGGGGATAAGGTTCTTAATATTCCTCCTTAAATCATGATGGCTGATTTATGGGATCATCATCATCATCATCATTAGAGCCTTTTTCTAACTATTTGAAATTGGTTATACATATCTTGGTCTGTCATTCCGCTCTATCAAGGACCATACCCTCACTAAGGCTAGAAGTCCCCATATCTTTTCTCACTACTTCCAACCATATCTTTGGGCCTAACCCTTGCCATTTTTGAGCATTCCACTTGAACCAACACGCACCTCCTAACAGGTGCTGCACTGGGTCTCTGCTGCACATGACCAGCCCACCTAAATCTACTTTCTCTCATCTTAGCACCTATTGGCGTGACATCTAAGTTCTCCCTAATGTATTCATTTCGAATTCTATCCCTTCTTGTGTTGCCACTCATCCATCTCAACATCCTCATCTTACCTACACTCATCTTATGGGTATGTTGTTTCTTGACCGTCCAACATTCTACCCCATAAAGCAAAGCTAGTCTCATAGCTGTCCTAAAGAACATCCCCTTCAGCTTCATTAGTATGCGGCGATCACATAAAACTCCACTTGCACATCTTCACTTTGCCTACCCAGCTCTAATTCTATATGCGACATCTTC